CACCCAGAACCCCAGCCCTTCCTCCCCGTCTGGATCCTCTTCCCGTCTCCCAGAGCACAGTGCTCGGGGCCTCGTCTCTCTCGGTCACTGCTGTGTCCTGGTGACAGTGGGACCCGGGACACGGTACTCGGCACGTGTTGACCCACGAGGAGCAGAAAACAAAACCGGGGCGTGGCGCTCCTGACCCCGGACACGTGGGCACAGGCCCGGTCACACTCGGAGAGACGGCGGCTGCCAGGGGTCCCTGAGGTCAGGAGGAGCCCCATGTCCCTCTGAGCCCGACTCCCCCAGAACCCCCAGCGCCCGGGCCAGGAGGCCGCAGCTGTCCAGGCCCCACGGCACCTCCCGGAGAGGGACCTGCAGGCCAGAGAGGGTGGGTGCTGCCCCCAGGGCACACAGCAAGCCTGGCGGCCCTGGGGTGCCGGGTCCAGCCCCGCGTGACAGCACTGCAGATGGCCGCCGCTCCCCGAGGCTGGAAGAAGTGATGGACAGAGGGACAGGGGAGGGCATGGGGCTTCCAGAGCCCCAGACACGGGACGTCCAGCCAGGCCCTGTCCCATCTCTCTCCTGGGGTCGCCCCGGAATGGCTTCTGCTCCATCCGGCTGGGTGCCCGCTCAGAGCATGTGGCCTTACCCCCGGAAGCTTCCAGAAGGAGCCAAGTGTGGGGTGTGCCTGGCCCCTCCCTGAGTGACCCAGGTGCCCGCTGCTCGCCGCCTTCCCCTGGATCTTGCCCACCCTCCAGGCCAGACTGAGAGGCGTCCCCCCACCGGCTCTCGGGACACAGGACACAGAGATAGGCGCGTCTTGGCCAGGGTCACACAGCACCCTGGCCCGCGGCTCCCTCCCCGAGCCTGGGTGCTGCCGGGCTCCCTGGGCCTAGCTGCCACAGGACTCCCTGGCTCAGGCCCCAGGACAGCGGGGGTCTCCCCCAAGTCCCCGCAGGTGGCCAGGTCGGCAGGAGGCTGCCCGAGCGCCCTTGGTGACACCAGCGGGCGGGTGTGGGCCCCAGGTGCCGGGGCAGCTGGGACACACTTCCAGGGGTGAGGGGCCAAAACCACCTCCCTCTGCCTGTGTCCCCTCCTGGCCACTCTGCCCTGCCCCGCCACCCCGCAGAGCCCCCGCCCGGGCAGGAGACCCGGGGGTCCGAGCCGCCGCCACTCACCATCCACCACATCTTGGCCGTCATGTCGTAGCACAGCTGCCACTTGACCGCGCTGTCCCCCGGCCGGCTGGACCCCGGGGGCCCCGGCACCTCCATCCTGGGCGGGCGGCGGGCGGCCCCTGTCGCCTTATTCAGACAGAGCTGCGGGCTGCGCGGGCCGCCGGGCACCCAGGGGCGGGCACCCGGCCTCCATGTGCCCCTCAGGAGGCTGGAGGAGGTGCCCGGGCCAGGAGGGCAGCGGCAGGGCGGGCGCTGGCCCCAGGCCCGTCTCACCAAGTGGCCACCCACAGCCCCAGGAGCCCAGTGCAGGGCGGGCGCGCGTGCCCGGGCGCAGCTGGCACGGCGGCCCCAGTGTGGGCTTGTGGACGAGGCTCGGCTCTGATTGGAGACCCCCCACCCCCGGAAGCAGCCAGCGCTCCCGCCCGCGGCCGGCTGCCGCCAAGGACCACAGGGCGGGTGGGCGGAGGGAGCGGGCAGGCGGCCGGGGTGCTGCCACCCCACGGCCTCCTGGGCCAGGGCAGGACCCCAGGTTCATGAGGGACCGCGGGGAGTCTGGAGAGGGCACCCCAGGCGCTGCCCCGCAGGAGGACGGGGGGAGCCCTGTTTCGGGGGCAGAGCCCTACCAGGGACCCAGCTGGGTCAGTGGCCCGGGCTCCTTGGGGCTCCTGCCTCCCCACAGGAGCAGCCCCGGGAAGGGTGGGCAGAGACGCAGACCCCACGAAGGAGCCCCCCTCATCTGGTTTTCTTCTCCCGACTTCTGAGACCAGCAGGGGCCTTTGATTTCATTATTTAGTCATCTTGGTGCATTTGTGGACACCGAGCCTGTGTCCAAACTGGACAAGGGGCCCGTCACTGATCTGCATTGGCTGGATGACCTGGCCCTACACTGACAGCAGGCAGGACTAAAGGGAGACAGCAGGCAGGACTTCCCTGGGGAAGAAGTGCCCCTTGGCTGGGAAGCGGCTGGGAAGGCATCAGGCTGGACCTCCTTGGCCTCTGCCTTTCCATATGGTGCTGGGGCCTCTGAGGGGTGGACGGAGGGAACCAGATGTGTTGGGTGGCAGGTACAGGGCACCCTTGGGGACCGAGGTGCATCCCAGGGATTTGCAGGCAAAGCGGGTGGCACACTGGGGACAGGGGACTCTGGCCTCGTCCCTCTGCTCAGCCCTGGGCCCTTCAGGAGGCCTCCTAGGCTGCAGCGCTGTCCCTGCCCTCCTCCCTGCACCCCTCATGGTCCCCCCCCTCCCGGCGGCTGGCTCCCAGCTCCCGGCTTCCTGGTGGCAGAGGGCACCCTGGGACTCGAGGCCTTGGCGGAAGCCCGCCCTCTGCCCTGGACACCCTGGTCCTGGTGTCAGCTCCTACGCACCCTTCAAAACCCAGTCCTCATGCTCCCCAAGAGAGGTGGACAAGGACGAGGGACAGAGACGGAGGGACAGAGGGACAGACGGTGGGAAAGCCCAGAGACAGGAGGAGAGGCCCTCAGCGGCACTGCCCGCCGCCGGATCTCTCCCTGAGCCCCACTGGACAGCCTGCGGAGCCCCTGCCCCAGCCTGGGCACTGGGGGCTGAGGGTCCTCCCCCAGCGTCAGGGACTGCGAGGGGCAACGCCCAGGGCTGTGCCGTGCACCAGTGGACACAGCGGCCATTGAGGAAGGGCGGGAGGGAGCAGCACCTACTGCATGCCAGCCCTGACGAGAGCCACCGGAGCCAGCACTGCCACTGTCCCCTGCACAGACAGGAAGAGCAGCCCAGGGCGGCGCCTCGGGAGCCCAGGGCCAGGCGCGGCCCACGGGGTGCGGCTGGGGTCCTCCCTCTGAGCTTTGCTCGGGGCTGGGAGTTAGCCTCATGCCATCGGCCATTGATCTAGGAGGTCAGTGCTGTCCTTGTCCCCATTTCAGAGAAGGGAACTGAGGCTCAGAGAGGGGAGGTGACCCGCCCAGAGCTGCACAGGGCTCTAGGGGAGCTGGTGTCCACCTCCTCAGCAGGCCCCTGGGTTTCCCCTGGTGGACGGGCTGCGGGCAGGGGGTTTCTGTCCGTCGCTGCTGCCCCCGGCGCCTGGGGCGACCCTCTGAGGGGGCGAGGAGGAGGGAAGCAGCCGCCTAAACCGGGCGGTTCCCGCTGATCCCCACCAAGACCGGGTCCGGTCAGCGGTGGGGCGGGGGGCGGGGCGGGGCGGGGCCTCGGCTGGCCACGCCCCGCCGGCGGCCTCCGCTCGCCCACGTGGAGGCCCTGCCCGTAGCTATAATTTGCCTCGGTACCTTGTGGTCGCAGGAGGCAATTACCCACAGATGTGCGGTTGGCGGGAGGCCTTCAGCCGGCGCGGGTCAGAGCCGGGCCTTGGGGGGAGCAGAAGTGGAGGTGGCCTTGGAGCAGGGCGGGCGGGAGGCCGCAGGACGGAGGAGAGACGCTGGAGAGAGGGGAGCAGAGCCCGTCACTGCTCGGCCACTTGTCCACGCCAGGGAAGGGGCCCACGAGGCCTCGCCCAGTGACCGAACCTGCCCACAGCGGGGCCAGGGCGCTTGTGGGGGCTCCCACCCCACCCCACTTCCTGTCCCCCAATACCCAGAGCAGAGGGGCCAGGTCCTCAGGCCTCTGCCCGCTGCGTGCCTCCGTTTCCCCGCAACCTCTCTGGGCTCTCCTGCCCACACCGCGCCACCTCGTTCATCTGCGTCCACGGGTCATGGACGCTTTCCTTCCAGCCCAGCCATTTGTTAAAAGGACTCAAATGGGCTTCAGGAGAAGGTCTAACCGGCCGCCGAGAGCAAGGTGCGGGAGCCTGCTCAGCCCCCACTGCGCAGAGCTGCAGAGCCGGCCGCTGCCTCTTTCTCTGTGGAGGGACAGTGGCATCAGAGGGGTGTTGAGCGAGGAGCCCCAGAGCCCGGGCAGACCCGCGCCGGGAGCTGGGAGGGCCATGCCCTGGGCCGGGCCACAAAGCAGAAACTTGTTATGATTGTTGGGGAGCCGGGGAACGGGCAGGGCTCTAGCACCCAGCTGCACGCGCAGCCCGATGGACGTTCTTGAAGGCAGAAGAGGGGTTAAAAAACCAAAAACAAGCAGGGGGTGCGGGGACAGAGGGAGCAGCCGTGCGGACAGCAGGCGATGGAGAGGGTCCTGTGCTGAGCGGGCGGCTCCACCGAAGCCCACACCTGGGAGGCGGCGGAAACGCTGAGGAAAGGGAACTGAGGAAAGTTCGTGACCAGCAAGCTCCATGGTTTGGATCTTGAGCGTCCCCAAAGGCCCTTGTACTGGAGGCCTGGGCCCCAGGTGGCGGTTTTGGGAGGGATGGAGCCTTCAGGAGGCAAGGCCCTTAAGGGGATTGTGGACCCTGTCTCTTCCTCTCTCTTTTGTGTCCTGGTCTGCTCCCCCGAGTGCTCCCCGCGTGCTCCTCCAGGATGGGCTGCCTCACCACAGGCCAAAGCCACAGGCCGGCTGACCATGGGATGGAAATATCCAAGACCACAGTGAAAATAAACCTTTTCTCTTTATGAGCTGCTTTTTTTCAGGTACTTGTTACGGTAACAGAAAGCTGACTGATGCAGGGTTCAAGGTTGAGGGAATCAACATGCTGAGCTGTCAACTTCTCCCCAAACTGACCCATGAATTCAATGCAACTCTGATTAAAGGCTCAGCTCCGCGGAGAGTGCTCGCTCAGCACGTGTTGGGCCTGAGTTCCACCCCAGAACCAGAAAAAAGAACAAAATGGGAAGAGTCACCCTCCCTTATTCCACGCTGACCCCCAGTAACGCAGACCAAGAGCCTGGCCCCTGTGCATGCCGGGGCAGGGTCAGCGGGGGCCTGCAAACGTGGCCCTGCAAACGTGGCCCCTGCCTGTCTCTGTGAGCACAGTGTCACTGGGACGCAGTGTGGCCGTGCACTTGCCCTCCACAGCCGGCAGCTTTCAGGGCCCAGTGGGAGAGCGGCCCAGCGGCTGTGGCCTGCCCAGGAGGCTTCCTGTCTGCCTTCCGTCAGCTCTTAATCTAGACAATGTGGCAGGGACCAAAGGATGGACAGAACCGAGTCGGGAACAGGCACGGCCAGCAGATGCCCCTGCAGTGGCCAGTGAATCAAGGAGGGCGGAGGGCTTCAACTCGCAGGCCTGGCCAGCCACGCACAGCCTCGCCTCACACCGACGGCCACCTGGAAATGGATCGCAGACCTAAAGACAGACAAACCACGGAACGTTACAGGGGAAAAGTCTCAGCCCGTGAAAGAAGAACGTGATGGACCAGGCTCTGTCAAGATCAGGAATTCTGCCCTGTGAAAGAGGCCGTCGACAGAGTGAGACCACAGCTAACTCGAGACTCACGAGGGAGGAGCGAGCCAGGTAAGGTGACCAGGTGAGCCAAGGGAGCAGACGGAACTCCCAGGAGAGGGGCAGTGTGTCCCCAGCAGGGAGGAGGAGCCACAGCGCGACATCACACGCGTGTGTCTGAATGGCTAAAGTAAAACTTAAGACCCGGCAATGCCGAGCGCTGGTGAGGGCGTCGAGCTGTTGGGACCCTCGCACGTCGCAGCATGGTACCGTCCTGGGCAAGGGCTTGGCCACAGGCCTCACCCCGGCTCCGGCCCTGCCTGCTGCGTGGAAGGCCTCCTCTGACCCTTGACCCCCACCCCCACCCTCTACAGCCCTGCGCAGGAGCCTCCTCCCCCTGGGGACTCCTCTGGTAGGGACTCAGCTCTGTGACGGCTGCTGGGTCTGTCCAGCGGGGCAAGTTGCTCCCGTGTTTGGGTCTTGTCTCCCCATCTGCACAGGGACTCCATGATGTGCCCTTTGCAGATTTTGTTGTGAGAGCCAGTGGGTCATCAGACGTCCCGAAGCCAATGCTGTGCGCGGTGACCTTCATTCACCCCCTCATTTATTCGTTTGTCAGACTTTTACTGGGCACCTACTGTATGTCAGTCTGTGCACTGAGCACTAGGGACATAACAGGACCCAAAACAGACCCCCCTCCTGCCCTTGGGGAACTCAGGTCGTTGGGGGATGGACGCGCAGTCATGCTTACCTGAGGCCTGTGATAGGTTCCGCTGGGGGTGGAGAGCAGGACAGTGGAGCCGGCTGTCCAGGTGAGCTGGGCAGGACCGGGCGTAATGAGGGTGAAGAGCTCAGCTGGAGCTGACCGAGGAGGAGGAGGGTCCAGGGGTCCGCCTAGCACTGATGTCCTGAGAAGCGCCTACTCTGAGAAGTCGGGTGGGTTCACGGATTGGCGACTGAACTCCTGTGACACGGTGATGAAGGGGGAACATCGGACCTAGAAAGACCAGGCCTGCCACCCCCGTGGACTGGCTTCTAAGGGAAGCAAGACTGGAAAGCTCCCTCCACTCCCACCCACCCGCCCGCACCGCACGGGTCCCTCTGTCCAGGGCTCGGAGCTGTCCGGGACCCCCGGTGCTGAAGTCCAGGCTGGGGCAAAGTGCCTGCCGGGGCAGCGCTGCTCGACTCGCATCCCTGGATCGCACCCAGGATGGCAAAACTGTTCAAGCGTCATTGCTCTGCGCTGGTTTCCGTGCCTGTATCCCAACCCGCCTCTTGGAGCTGTGCAAGCTGAGGCCACCGAGAATCCGGAGACTCCTGTCCAGCCTCCTATTTGAGAAGTTACTGCGCCTTTAAGAATCGCTTTAGGCGTCACTCCTGGCATCACCGTCACCGGGGCTCTGAAGGGTTCAGGCTGTGGATTGGCTGACGGCTCATGAATATGTAGATCATGTCCGGGTGGGGCAGGGAGGGGGCTGGAGGCGGGGCGCGCAGGCCTGGCGCTGGGGGCGTGGTCAGGGGCGTGGTCAGGGGGTTTTGTACATTTTGTTCCCTGCAGGACCTACAAGAGCCCTAGCGCAGGGTCGGTGGTTAATGAATGCGTACTGACACTTGAGTTCAGTAGGAGTAATGTCCCAGAATTCACTTCTGACGCGAGGAGGCCCTATTTTTACCCTATAATATTTAAGGCTGTTATTCGCGGCGTTCCTTGTGATCTGCCCTAATTCTGGACGTGCACTGTCACGAGCCCCGTTCTACAGACGGGAACCAGGCAGGAAGGTCCAAGGGCACAAAGACCAGGTCGCTCAGCAGATCTGGAGGCCGGGCATCCCGTGCTGTTTCTTACTCCGGCCCCCGCGTGCCCGGCTTCCAGGCTCTGTGCAGCCCAAAGGCGAACCAGGGCCTAGGAAATGCCTACCTGTTGGCCGAGGTCGTCCCTGTGCCTGGAAGGCCACTCCGTCTGTTATGGTCCAGCATCTAGGAGCCGCAGGGGGGAAGCGAAGGGCTCCTGGCCGCGGGAGGGAGAGGACGGGCGCAACGGGTGGGGACGCGGCGCCCACGCTGTAGGCTTCAGGGGATGCGCAAAAAAGTTTGGACGAGGTAGCTTTTGCCACCCGGGACAGAAGCCAGGCGGAGTCACCCGCGGCGCTGGCCCTCGGCACAGATGCCGCTCTGGACGCCGCGTAGGTCTCTGCTGCCCCCTGCTGGTGGTCCGGGCGAAGCCTCGGGAGAGTGAATTTTGAAGGAACTTCCCGGCTCCGCAGGACGGGTCCAGACCGGGGAGGGCTTCGTGTCAACCCGGTTCGCCTCGTTTCCAGAGGGAAACAGCTCAGACGACTTCGCTGCTTGTCCAAGCTGCTGCCAAGCGTCAAATCGGACTCGAACCAGGAACTGCCTGGTCTGGACGTGAGCGCTGTGCCTTTGGTGCATGTGGCGGGCTGGGGCAGCTGGGCTCCGGGGTGGAGGTCAGTGCCGCCGCCCTCCAGCGCTGCTCTGGCCTGCCTGAGGACCAGCGGGCCAGCTCTGCAGCCTGAGCCCTCCATTCTCTGTCGCCCCCACCTGTGAACTAGGTCCCAAGTTGCCACGGCCATTACGAGGAGACCCCGAGGCTCTTGGGTCTGGGTGGAACCAGCCCTTGCCCGCTGCCCGCCTCCTTCCCATTCCCTGCTCCACAGACCTTCAGTGCAAACAGGGAATCTGGACACACCAAGGGTTAAAGTCCCCGGCTGCCCCAGGTGTGACCGCCACCTGTGCCTCTGTCCCAGGAGCCGAGGGTACACAGAGGTTCCTGTCCCAGGTGAGGTCTCCCTGGTGTGTGGCTCCGGTGGCCTCTGACCCCCTCCAGGTGAAACACCCTGCCCACCTCAGTTTCCGTGGCGGGTATCCTCTCTCCTCAAACCCCCCACTGTGGGGGGAGAAGGCTGCCATGTGGTGGGGAAGCCCAAGCAGCACCGTGGAGCCTCCTGGTGATGAGGCACCTGCCCTCTGCCCACAGCCGTATGCGGGAGGCAGCTGGGCAGCAGCTGTCCCAGTCCCAGGCACCTGCAGGTGAGGAGGTCTTGGGTGACCTGAGAGGCCCCAAGTCACTTGGCTGAGCCCTCCTGGGACTCCTGACCCACAAAAGGGTGAGGGTCAGACAATGAATGTGTGCTGTTTTAAGCTGTTAGATTTGCAGGGGTGACCTGTGACACAGTGACAGCTAGCTGGCCTGTGTTGTGCCATGTAGCCTGTCCCCCAGAAGGACACAGGAAAATTTCCCCTTTGAATTAGCTCTGCCTTTAGCCAGGAGAGATGTCACCAGCCTGCGGTGGCTGGTTGGGGCTGCTTTCTCGGGTGAGGTCTTGGCTCCTTTGGGGTGAAGCGGGCTCTTCACTGCTGACTAGTTGATTCCCAAGTCGCCAGACGGTTCCCATGTCCCCTGGGGTTCCTGAACCTGGGCCTGGTGGGGTCTTCCCCCGCATCCTGTGGGGACAGTGGCAGCCTTGCTCACGTTGTGAACCCACTCAGAGGCTGTGTTGGGAGGGTTGTTCTAATTGGCTTTTCCCCTGCCTGTGACCCAAAGGACCCACAAGAACAATATTCGAGGAGGGAAGGTTTATCTGAGGCTCACGGTTTCAGAGGTCTCAGTCCATGGAAGGCCGGCTCATTCCCGGGGGCTCGAGGTGAGGCAGCGCATCATGGCGGGAGAGGGTGGCGAGGGAGGCAGCTCACACGTGATCAGGGAGCAGAGGGAGAGACTCCACTGTCCAGATACAAAACCCACACCCACAGCCGCACCCCAGCCGCCCCCAGCCACCGCCCAGTTGATCCATCAGGGATCAATTCACTGATCAGGTGAAGGCTGTGGCCCAATCATTTCTCCTCAAAACCTCTTCATTGTCTCACCCACGAGCCTCTGGGGGACACCAGCTTCCCACCATAACAAGGGTGCACGTCCTCAACATGGAAGATGGGGACTTACACGCCCTCTCTGGACCCCTGTGTACTAATATTATTAGCAGGACATTTCTCCAGGGGTCGTGGCAGGTTAAATGAGTTAATCCCCTACACCTCGGACCAGGGTTGCCGGTTGTGCTCTCTGCAATGAGGACACGGGGTGACTGAGCCCCTGAAAGGGGGCTCCGGGTAATAAGGAAGAGAAGGTCTGCTGCCATCTGCATTTAAATATCCACGCTGGCCAGTGGCTGCTGTTGGACAATGCAGGCCAGAAACGATGCCTGGCAAACAGTAGGTGCATAATTGGTGCTTGGGAGGATAGTGTCCTCCAAACCTTTTCCAGCGGCCAGCTGACGCCCCGCCAGCGGCTCCCCGGCATCCTGGCTACGCCAGACTCTCAGCATGCCCCCCAAGGCCTTCCACGGCCCCTCGCCCCCAGGACAAGGCCCAGGCTCGCCCACGACACTTAGATTCCGACCCTCAGCAGGATCTGGAATGGCCTTTTGAATTTGGGTGGCTGCTTTCTGGTCTCTGTCCACCTTCCTCCTGGACTTTGGCCTCAGGGGGCAGGGTCAGGATATGGCACACAGTAGGTGTTTATTGATGACAGGGCCATCTTGGTCCGCTGACCCTCCCCTCCACAGTCACTGTCCCTGGTGTTCCCACCACCTGAACCCGGTTAACACGAAGCCCTTCCCGGTCTGGACCCGTCCTGCGGAGCCAGAAAGTTCCCCCACAATTCTTCACCCACAGGAGGGAGAGTAAGGCGAGAGGCGGATCTTTAGCAAGTAAAACTTTTATTAAATAAATTTTTAGTTTTTCTCAGACCAAAGAGAGGCGTTTGGACATGAAGACGCTTGTCACCTGAACACCTCAACAGTGACAAGGACCCTCTCCAGGCACGGGAAATCGGCTTTGACACAAAATCCAAACCAAGTCAACCCAAATTCCCTCCGAGCCCTCTCCTTTGCTCTCGCGTGTGTGTGAGTGTGCGTGTATGTGAGTGTGAGTGTGTGTGTGTGTGTGTGTAAGTCAGTCTGCAGGTTGAAACTTCATGAAATTACTTGTAGCAGAAATAAAGTACATCGTACAAATCACGCAGGTCTCGACGTGGAGTATAAAAATGGTATTTACAGCCAGTAAACATGGACTAGAGGACAGCACAGGGCACCGCACACACTCCCAGGCAGGCCCGCGGGGCGGGTGCCGGGCCCCGCGAGGCTGCGTGGCACCCACTGCACACGTGGGGGACAGGACACAGGCACGCACAGGAGTGGCTCGCAACATCACCAAACTCTGGAAACCAGACGAGTTTGCAGGAGTTTTTTTTTTTTTTTTCTTTTTCTTTTTGCTGTGGTCCCCACCCCCCGAGGTCAGTCACACATTTTGGTAGAAACAGAAGGGAATGCTGTGTCTCTTTTCTTTTTAAAAATTCTTTTTGTTTTTGAGCTTAAGTCATCCGGAGCCTCATGTGGCAAGAGGCCCGGCTGGACGTCCAGACGGACTCGCCTCTGTGCTTGGACGGGGCGTGGCGGCCGGAGGCTATACAGGAGCGTCCCCAGACCCCCGACCCCCGCTAGAAACAAACATCTGTTATCATTGGATTTCCCCCCATTTTTTTTTTCTCTTCTTTGTACCTGCTCAAAAAGACAGAAAAAAAAAAAAGAAAGAAAAAGGAAAAAAAAAAGAAAAAAAATCTGTCGAGGTATGAAGGTCACTATCAAGGTCACGGTCTCTGATAAAGGGGTGCTTGGGCAGTCCAGGTTGGGCTTGTCCAACACGCTTGGCGATCTTGGTTACAAGACCTTAAATTCGAGGCTGGTGATTCACAGGCAGGGACGATGGCGGCCTGCCCTTGGGGGGGCAGTGAGGGACGGGGCCTCCCCCAGCCCTGGCTGCCCCGGCGCAAAGCTAAGGGCTATTGGTCACACAGTAAGGCTATGACTGAGGGGTGGGCGCAGGGAGGGCAGGGAGGCCAGAGGGTCTCTTTGTGCCACAGGAAGGCAGGCCCCTGGGAGGGGGACAGGGTGGGGCTCTGGAGAGCAGCAGCCCGGGCAGGACGCTCCAGCTGGCGGGGCCCAGAGGCCTGCGGGGATCGGGGTGGTGGGGGCCCACAGTCCCGGAGGTATTTCTGTTGGCGCATTCCTGGCCTGGTGTTCCAGCTGTGGGTGGACGGGCACCTGGCCGCCCAGCCAGCCTCGGCCCCTCCTCTGTCCCTGTGGAGTGACCGGCTCAGGGTCACCCTCTTGGATGGAAGGAAGTCGAAAAGTTTGGCCCCATGATCTATACTCAAAAATATATATATATACTGTCTAGAGCTCTCTATATATACGCATATATATATATATATAGGGAAAGCGGTGACTTCCTTCTGGGAAGCCACCAAGGGGGTCCCGTGGGCGGGGAAGGTCCTGAAGTCGGGGGCAGCAGGTGAGCCCTTGGCTCCCAGCCCAGGAGACCCCCACCCAGGACAGAGCAGAAGGCCCCTCACTGTGGCCTTCAGAAGGGTTTCACATTTTGGGGACAGGGTAAGGGCAGAGGGGAGGGAGGGCCGGTGACCCAACACAGGCGCAAGTTACGGGAAGGCCTGGGTCGGCTGGGAGGGGAGCCTCATGGGGTGGGAGGCCCCTCAGCTGGGGGGAGGGCATCCAGGAGCAGTCCTGGGGCACAGCAGAGGACGCCACCCCCGTTCGTCCCCACCAGGAAGGGGCCGGGAACCCGAGGCCCATATTGTCCAGAGAGCACAGCCCCTGGTTCTGGGGACAAATGGGACAAGGGCGTTCCTTTTCTGACCCCTTCCCCACTCCAAGCCATTTACAGTCCAGAAGCCAGCTTCTTCCCGTCTCTGCCCCCCAGGTTCTCGTTCATTGGTGGCTGAGTCCCCAGACGCTGGTGACAGTGCCTAGCACATAGTAGGTGCTCAGTGAGGGTTGCCAGCTGAGAGCGGAAAGTGAGTGGACGGCAGTGTGGCCTTTGTTGTGGCCTCCGGTTGGCGGTCCCCAAAGGCACTTTCCCGCAGGGCGTGACTGTGCAGGTAGGGTCCCCCCACTCTGTGCTGCGCCCCAGATTCTAAAACACACTGACAGGCTCTAGCTGAGCTCCTACTTTGTACCAGACCCAGTGAGGTTCTTCACGATGACGGCGAGGGTGATCAAAAAGAAGAAGAGTCAAAACAAACTATCCAGAGCTTTTGAGGTGGCGGGTTCTGGGCTTGGCTTCAGAAAGACCCAGCAGGCCCCTGGCTGGGTCCTGTCCTGGGAGCCCACTGTGCTGACCCTGGGCTGACTGTTCCGTCCCCGAGAGGATGAGTTTGTCTGTTCTATGCAAAACAAGCTTTGGGGGTTTTGTTGGGGTTTTCTGCACGATGGTTGGCGGTGTACCCCATCCGCCTTCTCTACTGGGTGCATGTGATACTAGAGGAGCTGGGCCCGGTCGGGGCTGGTGGGGAGGGGACAGGGGCCTCCAGGCACTGTCCCCACCTCCTGCGCTCCAGCCCTGGTTCCCAGCGGAGCTGGATATCGTGAAGCCCCCACCTCAGGGACCAGGGTCTGGGGTGCGCACTTGACACTTTTTCCTGGGGTTCAGAGCTCTCCAGCAGGGAGAAGGGACACACAGGACAGGACAAAGCCCCTCCCCCACCCCTGCCACGGACCAAACCTGCTTCCTGTGACCTTGTACTCATCCTTCAAGGCCTCCTCCGGGAAGCCTTCCCAGCCGGCCTGGGGCCCTGCTTTCTTCCCACCTCCCCACCCCGCCCCCCCTCTGATCCACCCTGACCACAGGGTCACGGGGGGCATCTTCGTCCAGCTCTGTCCCTGCCAACCCACCCTGGGGGCTTCCCGTAGCCTCCTGCAGCATCCCCAGGGGGAGGGTTTGGAGAATAAGCGAGGGGAGGAGGGTGTGGACAAGACAGGGCGGGGCGTGGGGCCGCCTGGCGGCTCACCTGGGCCAGGCCCACAGCCTGGGGCGGCCGAGGGCAGGGTCAGTAGGGGTGTCCGGGGTCTTTGGGCCGCTTCAGCTGCACCTTGAGCCTCTTCGTGCCGATCTGGAAGCCGTTCATGGCCTGGATGGCGGTCTGCGCGCTGGCTGGGTTGTCAAAGCTCACGAAGCCTGTGGAGACGGGGCGGGCTGTGACGTGGGCACCACGGCCTCTGCCCTCGAGGAGTCCTGGGGCGCGGCCTGTGCTCGCACGGGCAGGCAGGCCTGCCAGAGGACACACGGCGGCCACCCCGGCTTCGTGCTGAAGTCTCTGGACTCGCGGTCCTCTGTGGACGGGGAGCTCACTCCTGACCTGGGGTCCAATCTGCTGGAACTTCCCATCTGGCAAGGGAGACAGGGGGTCCCAAGGGCCACGTTCTTCCTTCTCCCTGGAGCATCTGCCTCCCTCTCAGCCCTGGAAGCCACCCTGCTCCTGTGAGACCTCTGTGCCCAGGACATTTCCGGGGGCGGGCTGTGTCCCAGATTCTCCCCTCCCCTCCCCTCTCCTCCCCTTCCTCCCAGTCCTGTCTGTCAGTCCTTTGCCCCGGGCCAAGGCCACCAGAACCACTCCAGCACTCTCCTTCAGTGTCCACCAGCCCAGCTCCCTCCGCCTGGCACCTCCAGGCCACCCCCCAGCCTCCTGCCCTCCTCCTGGCCCTCACAGGCCAGGTTGTGTGGGTCCTGCCCGCCTGCCAGGGCCCGGGAAGAGCTAGCAGTGGCTCTGGAGCTGGGGCAGGTCTGAGGTCTCCCTGCTCTGGCCACGCCTGCCCACCCGCTGTCTAGTTTGGGAGACCGAGGCTCAGCGGGACAGTGACCCTGAGGAGATGCGAGCCAGCCAACGTGCGCATGCCTCCAGCATCTCTCCCTGGAGGTTGGAGTGGGGACGGGTTCGGGCACTGGTGGGTCTCTTCCTTCCTGTGTGACCTCAGTCCTGTTCCTGGCCCATTCTGAGATTCTCTTTCCTCCCTCCATAAACTGAGACGATGCCTCCTTCTAGGGCAGCTCCTGCCATGTCCCCTGGGATGCTTGTGCCACAGGTGGGTAGAACCTAGGAGCTGGGAGACCCCTTGGGGAGGGACTTCTGCTGACCTCCTGGTGCTGCATGTCAGTGCCCAGCACAGTCCTGGCACACAGTAGGTGCACATAATACATGCACACAATAGGTCTGTGTTGACTGAGTGGGCCTTTGAAAGGATATAAGGAAACTGCCTGGCACACGGTGGTGCCTAATGAGTGCACCCTCTGATTGTGAATGTGCTTCCTTTGGCCCAGGCCTGCCCTGCTCCAGGGCAGCTACTTACCGAAACACTTGCTCTGGTTGGTGGCCCGATCCATAAACACCTTGGAGGAGATGATATTGCCGAAGGGCAGGAACATCTGGGTCAGCTCCGTGTCTCCAAACTCCTGGGGGAGGTGGTAGATAAACAGGTTACAGCCTTCGGGACCTGCAGGTGGGGGAGAGAAAGACATAAAGCCCCCAAGGAGAGGAGGCGGAGCCCGGAGCCCACACCCTGGAGTCAGCTGTGGGGAGGGGGCTGGCTCCTCGCAGCCTGGAGTCGGGGGCGAGGGGCAGGCCACGATCCCCCCCTCAGATATGCCCAAGCAGGAAAAGCCTCAGGCCAGGGTCAGGCAGCCAGCCAGGCCTTGTGGCCCACACCCTGGCCAGTCCAGAGCTCCCAGAGACCCCGGCCCTCCAGAAAACCCACCCTACACTCGGCTCCAGGCCATCAGGACAGCCAGTCAGCCTGGCCCGTGACCAGGAGTCTTGGCAATTGCACAGATCCGCCTTAAGTCCTTCAGCAGTTTAAGACAGACCGCTGTGGCCAGCAAGCCGGGGCGGCTCCGAGGAACAGCACATGCTTAGCACGGGCAAGGCCTCGGGTCCCCTCTCCAGCACCCCCTTAAAATAAAATTAAGTTTCCAGAAAGCCCAGTGGTCACAGAACAGAACAAAACATTCCCAGAGTTCCAAGCCCCAGACAGGGATAACCCCCAGGCCTTGGTGATTTTCAAAATTCAGATGGTTTGAAAAGAAACTCAGATGCAGTAAACATGATCTCTTGAGTCCTGAACCCCAGACGTACAGAAACCGTAGGTAACTGAGCAAGGACATACCATACCAACCAGAGTCGCTGTTAAAAATAGTCACGATTAGTCCTCCAAGACAAGCCCCAGCCCAAATAATCCCCACCGCACGGCTAAGATGAAATCATAAATAAAGCGGCAGTGTGCTCTATGGCTCCGTCCCCCTGCAGGACACACGGCCGGGACTGCGGGGATACCCCTTTCCTTCCGCACAAGGACCAGGGCTCTGCTCTTTCTAGAGCTCAGGTTTGCACCAACACAGCTGGCAGGTGACACGTTGATTCTGAGCATAACTTGAATTCTGCACTTGTTTATCCCCTATTTTATTCCCCCCCAAACACTGGGTGATCGCATAAAAGCGTACCCCGCAGAACTGAGCTCGTAAGGAGACCCGCTGCATGCACACACCGCACACGGCCAGCTGCTACCCCTGACCGAGGCACCCCGACCCTGCGCCTGACTCCAGGCACCCACCCTCTGTCCGCCATTCCACAGTGACGCGTGGCAACCCCTTGGCCGCCACGTCCACGTGCAGACCTCAGGTCTTTCCCACCTTCCCAGGTGCTCCTTGGCCACTGAACAGGTGTAAAGCCACGACCTTTCTTTCTACGACCACTTTTCCCTGAGCACGCTGCTGGTGGGCTTGGACCACTGATTCCGGACTCTCTTTGGGTTTTGGGACGCAGTGCCACCGCAGCCTGCCTGCAGGTCAGCCCCCAGTGCCCTCAGGAAGTGGATCCCAGGTCCCCACAGACACCGATCCCACAGCGCTCATGTCCACAACATGGTGCAGGGTCCTCCCGCAGACTGACGTCATCACGGGTGACTAGCACCTAATACAATGCCAACGCTGTGCGGACAGTGGCTACACTGTACTGGGGATAAGGACAGGGAACGGTCCTTATGTGTTCAGTGCTGACAAAATGACACTTGTCTGCATATTTCCACCTGACCTTGGTTGAATCCTTGATTCCAAACCTGCAGATGCGGAAGGCGGAGGGTTTCAGACAACTTTCACCCAGTCCACTCAGGCTGAGGGCGGAGGTGGAGAGGGGCTTGGAGGGGACACCCAGGCCAGAGTCATCCCCCCTCAAAAAAAGGACACAGTGATGCTACAGAGTCCCTGCTGGTGCCATCCTGTGGTAAGAAATGGGGGTGCTGCGAGGTCCTGGGAATGCCTGACATGTGGAGGTGCATGGTCTGGGGTAGTGGCATGTCACACAGCCTCCAGAGGACATGCTATCTGACCCACCACGGGAAGCAGCTGGTTGGCACAGCCAGGGGGCCCCCTCAGCCCAGCACTCACCCCAAAGTAGGCTCCCACCCACGGGCCAATGTCAAGGGAGAAACTGGGCCAAGCCGTGGAGTCAGGCGCCCTCGTCACGGGATGGCCTGGAGCTTCTCTGGCTGGTCGCCTGTCCTGAAGACGCCCTCACTCCCGGTCACCCCCGGGGCCCAGATGGACACAGGTGTTGCAGAGGAAGAAACTGAGGCACAGGGGCCTCCTCGAATCAGAAATGCACGGACTTGAACTTCAGCTGTCAGACTCCTGAATCCATGTCCTCCCTCCCTGGACAGCCCTGGCTTTCCTGGAGAGGCCTCGGTTTACCCAGCCGCTCCTCGAGCGTGCCAGGCCCCAACCTCAAGGGTTTCTCTCCCAAATTCCTGGCCTCTGGAGAGGCTGGTGGGGGCCAGCACGGCTCCCACTGTCCAGGGGAGCAAACTGAGGATGAGAGAGGGAGATTCCGTGGCCAGCCAGAGAAGGCCCAGGCGGCGTGCAGCTGCGCCCGGCCGGGAACCGGCTCGGACTGCGCGCTCCCCGCAGGTCCCCGAGGCCCGGAGGTCAGAGGGCGGGGCTGGTGCCCGGGGAGGTCGCGGCCGCCTCACCTTCTCGCTGCTGCTGCTGCAGGAGGGGCGGCGGCTGGGGCACGCTGTGCGCGATGGGCGTGATGGCCGCGGTGGGGTACATGGCTGCGGAGACCGGAGCGAGACACCCGGCGAGCGGGCGTGAGGCGGAGCCGGGCGGCGCGGGCGGGGCGGGGCCAAGGCCTCGGGGCGGTGCCAGGGCTCAGGGGCGGGGCCATGACTCGAGGGGTCGGGCGGGAGCGGGCACCGGCGACCCAACAGGAGCGGGACGGAGCCGTGGTCAGGGGGCGGGGCCGGGCACAGGGATGAGGGGCGGGGCCATGACTCGAGGGGTGGGGCGGGAGCGGGGCGCCGGCGGCCTAACAGGAGCGGGGTGGAGCTGCGCTGGGGGGCGGGGCCGGGGGCATCCGCGAGGGGCGGGGCGAGGGGCGGGGCGAGGCGGAAGGTGTGCGGGAACACAACTTGAGGGACACAGGGTGGGGTACAGCAAGGGGCAGGGCCACGGCCACAAGGGAGAGTGGTTACCGGGGTGGGCCCCAGAGGAAGGAAGGACCGAGGCCACATTGGAGGGGGCAGGGCCAGAGCAGAAGGCGAGGCCACCGTGAGGCCTTAGGAAGCGGAGCCAGAGGCGGGGCCGGGACTTTGGCAGAGGCGTGGTCAGTCCGGAGAGCAGGAGAGGGGCGTGGTCAGGTGCTGGGGCGGGGCCGGAGGCGTGGTAAAGGGGAGCCCCAGGCCGCAGCGCAAACCCAGGTGGTGGGGCTGTGTTGAAGCCCGGGCCTTAAGGGACCGGTCCACTTTGGGGGTCCGGTTTTGGGGGTGGCAGGAGTGCGGCCAGGAACCTTGCCAGAGGATGAAAGCAGGACAGGGGTGTGACCTGAGTGGGTGGGGCCAGAGGCAGGGGGTGTGACTGGGCACCGGAGGGGGGAGGGGTGTGGCCAGAATCGGCCGTGGCCGGTGGAGAAGGGGCGGGTCCGCTCGCTGCGCCGGGCTGCCGCCCTACCTGTGTACTGCTGGACTCCCGAGAAGGCCGGGTGGAGCGCTTCCGCCACCGTCGGGCTCTGAGCTGCGGGGCAGATGGAGGGGCAGAGTGGGCCGGGGGCGGCAGAAGTCCTCCAGCCACCCCCGTCCTTAAGAGCAGGAGGGAGGGAAAGGGACGTGTGCCCCCGCTTCGCTTGTGTGCTGACCCGCTGTGGGTTTGACCCCGTTTTTACAGGTAGGGACACCGAGGCTGAGAGGGGAAGCCTCTCGCTCGGAGCCGCTCAGAGAGCCAATCGCAGAAGCCAACAGGACCCCGGGTTTCTCAGACTCCAACGAATTTAACCACCCCCTCATCTTGCTGGCCCTGTCCTGACCCCCTGGCTTTCAGGGGTGACCCTCACTCCTCCCTTGCTTCTCCACTCAGCCCTCCCTCCCCTCACTCTGCCCCATCCTCTTCCCACCGCTGGTACATCAGATGCCCTGCGGATCCCACCCCGCCGAGACCTCTGGCTGCCATGGAAGAGGAGCCGGAGAGGTTGTCCCCACCACCCAAACCGCTGAGTCTGGGGAAAACTGCCGAAAATTCTGCTCCAATGCAGAGGCCGCTAGAGGACAGGGTGGTGGCTGGGACTGAAGGGATGGCAAGCGTTTGTGTCTTGATTGTGGTGGTTATGCAGATATGTTAACAAAATGGCACAGACACACATAGGGGCAAGGTGAAAGAGGGAAATCCAAATAAGGTCTGGAGCGGGCTGTACATAGCTAGGTCAGTGTCCTGACCCTCCGCCATGGTGGTGAGATGCCAGTGCCCAGCAAGCAGGCAGATGAGGTGGGCGAAGGACACACCTATGCACGCACCTAGCCTCCAGTTATTACAAAGTAAAGAGTTTAAACCAGAATCTCCTCCACGGTAGAGAAGACTTATTGGCAGGAGGCTTTGGGAGGGGTATAGGGTAGGGAGAAGTGCCTGTCTGACCCACAAGGGCAGCTGCTGCCCAATCGGTGCACAGTCAGTATTTATTCAGCGAATGAATGGATGAAGGCATCCATGTCCTCCCCAATCGGGACAATTAACATGTATGACTTTTGGTGCTGTCCTCGTGAGGTGATGGTATTAGCCTCATTTTCTGTTTTTCAATATTGGGGTTTGAATCCAGGGGTGCTCTACCACTGAGCTACATCCCCAGCCCTTTTGAATATTTGAGACAAGGTCTCACTAAGTTGCGGAGATTGGCCTTGAACTTGCAATCCTCCTGCCTCAGCCTCCGGAGCTACTGGGATCACGGGCCTGCACCACCACACCTGGTCCCCATTTTCTGGATGAGCTGAGACTCACACAACCCTGGGCCACCAAACTGAAATGTGAACCCAGAACCACCCGGGCTACCTCCTCTGTTCCCACCTGCCAGGCCTCCCTTCCCGGGACCACAGCTCCCATCTGCTCTGCTGGGACTCCTTCGTCCGCCCTTCTGCTCCCTGGGCTCCAGGGGGTGTGGACTCATGCTTGTTCCACTGGGCTTCAGGGGACCACTCTGAGTTACCTGGGTAGGGCACAAGGCCATTGGCATACACAGTCTCCAGGGCAGGGTGCCCACCAGGAAAGGGCACAACACCTGCGAAGCCATTGGTGATGGGAGCCACGAGGCCCGGCACGGCAGCCGTGCCCAGCAACGGGGGCGAGTGCAGCCCTGTGGAGAGGAAGAGGTCAGGGGAGCCTTGGCTGCTGGCTTGGGGTCCTGCCCATCCATCCTGGGCCCCTGACAGATGCTCACCAGAGGCAGGAGCAATGGGTGTGGCAGGCAGCCCATTAAGGCTGACGGCACCGATCTGCTGGATGTGGCAGGGTGAGAAGGCCACACCGGGGCTCAGGTAGCTGCCCGAGGTGGACAGCACAGTCGTCTGCTGCTGCATGAGCTGGGGACAGAGAGGACGCCAGTGGGCACGGTCTGCCTTGAGATCAAGGCTCAAAGGGGGGCTGGTCCAGCGACTGGGAGAAGGGGTGTGTCGTGCTGGGTGCGTCTTGGCTGGAATCAGGGCTCAGTCGGGAATCAAGGCTCAGAACAGCTCAGGGTTCAGCTGGAAACGGAAGCTTCACCCGGGCTCAAGCAGGTCAGAGCTCCGGCTTCGCCTGGATTGGGGATTGAGCCAGAACTGGACCTCATCTAGATTTGAGGCAGCCAGGATCTTGGTTCAGCCCACGGTAGGTCTTAATCTGAGACTAGGGGTTAGTTCAGGGCCAGGGTGCAGCCTGGGTTAGGGACTCAGTCTGAGTTTGGTGTCAAGGTGGGGTCAGGGCTCAGTCTAGATTTGGTGAGTGAGCCTGGCATTGTGTTCTGCCCAGAATTCGAGTTTTAGCCTGGACTTGGGGTTCGGTTCATGGGTAGGGGTTCTTCTAGGCTTGGAAGGAATCAGCTTGGAGTTGGGGGCTCAGCCACACAGGACAGGTCCTGAGCCCGAGAGGTGGAGCAAGGCACAGGAGGAAGGCCAAGAGGCGGGCACAAGGGAGAGCCGCACTGGGAGCTGGGGACACAGCCCATCTGCTGGGGCCACTCACAGCCTGGGCGTAGGCACTGTAGGGGCTGAAGGGCAGGGTGAGGGACGGCGTCAGGATGCCCAGCTGGCCCACCATCTGCTGCATGCGCCGCAGCGTCCTCTCCTTGTCGGTGTCCGCGAACTTGACCACCAGGCTGGAGGAGGCTCCCTGGGGGGTTGGGGGCAAGCAGGGGGAGAAGGGCAGGAGGTAGCCAGGACCTGAGGCCCCCAAGCCTGCCAGCCCAGGCACCTCCGTGAGGGCAGCCGATGCCAGCACCGCAGCCATGTCTGCAGCTCACAGCTGCAGGAGCTGAGGCCACAGGAAGCCCGGTGGCCGTCAGCATCCCAGGCCTGGTGTCTGCATAGGTGCTATGTCCAGCTGCGTCTGGGGCACAGTGCATGCACAACCACCTAGGGGACTGTCACCCACCGGGAGCAACAGCTAGAAGACACACCTGCTAGGATAGTGTTGCAACTATGGGACAGCTCACCCAGCTGGGCTGAGATATGGATGTCACACCAACGGGCAGCCCAGGCAGTGGCCAGCAGGGGCTTTGCATCAGGACACAGCCACAGGGGCACAGGGCCAGCTCTCCAGCCGTCAAAGGCAGCTGACCCTGACCCTGGGGTTTGGGAAGGGAGAAGCTTTCCCTCCAGTCAGACCCTCCCGCCAGCCCCCAGGTGCCTGCTGCAGCCTGCCCTTGCTGACCTGCTGACCCCCAGAGAGCTCGTTCCCACAGGGCCCCCCGCTCTGGCAAGAGACAGCTCTGAGCACACAAAGCCTGTCCCCAGCTCTGGAGGACAACTGAGGAGGAGAGCTGAACCTGGGGCCGGCAGATGTGGACATCTGTGTTCAGAGAGGGTGGCTCCTGGGGCCCCATCCCGCCTCGAACCCCCGAGACGCGCCTCCTCCCCTCCGCCAGGGCCAGTGGGCCAGTAGGACCCTGTACCCTCACCAGCGTCTTTCCAGACTGGCCCTCCTGTCCACCCGGCCCCAGCTCAGGCCTTATGCTCCCCGACCTGGACCTGGGTCCAGGCCCCTGGTCACCCCCTCCATCCCCTTGTTTGACCCAAAGGAACAGTCGCTACTGGCCGGGCCTCCCTGAATCTGGGGGAAGGGTGGCTGGGAGACAGCAGCTCTGTGAGCAGACGGCCGGACAGTCGCCCAGCCAGGGTCAGCCAGAAACCCCTGCCTGAGGAGAAAGCCTGGGCTCCTCTGTCCTGAACAGCAGGACCTCGAGCCCCATCTTCCACTGTCCCTCCCGCCTGCCATGCCCATCCCCACCCTGTCCTCGTCATGTTCCCCAGCTCGCCCCCCGCCCCACGCACACACGTGCATGCACACGCTCACACCCGCTGGCCCACACATCCACGCGCACCGTCCACCTCCCCCGGCCAGCACAGACTCGGTGTGCACACACACCACCCAACGTGTGCGCAGGCATGCTGGCACACACAGGCACAGTGGCCGCACAAACCCGCAGCACACACACACTGCCCTGTCATCCAGGCTCACGCAGGTTTGCACACTCAGGTCTAACACACATGTGCACTAATTCACATACACACACTTACATGAGCACACGCGAGCACCATATCTGTACAAGTGCACAAGCGTGCATACTGCACTCTCAACACACCTACTAATAATCATGCCTTCGCAACAGCACTCGCATGCACGCGCACACTCACCGCGCACACCTGTAGCACACGCACGCCCACCCTCCCACACACACTTGCACACACACACACTCGCCTGCACCTTCCCCACAGCCCAGGGCTATAGGCTCTCTGCCCCCTGTGCCCTCTCTGAAGAAGAGCCAGAGGCCACTGACTGGCTGCGATGATGATTCTGTCCCTGTCCCCCTCACTGCCCATGCCCCCTACCATGGCCAAGGGCACTCCTACTCACCGGCATGGTCTGGCTGCCGTGGAGGGCGTGGATGGCCGCCTGGGCCTCTGTGTGAGAAGAGAATTTCACGAAGGCACAGCCTGTTCCAAGACAGGGGGAGGGGAGGTGCGGGTTCAGAGGATGAGAGGGTGGGAGGGTGGCCACAGGGAGCCCCGGTGGCCACACAAGACACACAGCCAGACACCCAGCAGTCGCAGCTGGAAGACAGCCACTGCTTGTTCAGATTGCTGTGCAACCAGAGGGTCAGGGCCAGACAGTCGCCCAGCAACCTCGGCCACCACACGCCCAGTGGCCTGTCACCCATTCAGTTGGTCAGCCAGAAAACCAGGCGGCCTGGCAGCTGTTTTCACAAACAGAGCATGGCGGGACCTCGGGGAGCCCTGTCTGTCAGAACGAGGGAGGGCCAGGCCTGCCAACAGCCCAGCACCCTCACAAGGTCCAGATGCTGTCCCCAGAATGCAGGACAGAGGCGACGACATACCACTGGACAGGGCAGTCTTGGGGTAGAGTCAGGCTAAGCACAGGGACTGCAGACAGACCTGGCCATGTCCAGAGGCATGCGGAGGGGGCCGTGTGCCACCAGGCCAGAGACCACCAGACACTGGCAAATCCAGCCAGAGGGCCGCATGGACAGAGGCCCCAGGGCAGACAGACAGCGGACACCTCCTGATAGACAGCGCGGAGAAAGTGCCAGGCGGCTCTGGGTAGTGTGGTGAAGTGTCGGGAATTGGGCAGATGGCAGCACAATTTGTGACGGTTCCAAAAGCACTTGGGGGCCCAGCGCAGCGCGTCCCGGGAAGCGGCTCCACCCCGCGTCCCGCCAACAGCCCGGCACCCTCACAAGGTCCAGATGCTGTCCCCAGAATGCAGGACGGAGCCAGCCCCTCCCACTGGACCCGCCCACCGGCCGCTCCCCTCCACGTGCCCAGGCCGCCCCGTCCCTTCCCGCGGCCCCGCCCCTGGAGCAGCCCCACCTCATTTCAGGCCCCGCCCCCATCACCTTTGCTGCTGCCGTCGGGCCCCCGGAGCACGGTGCACTCGTCAATGACCCCGAAGGGCTGGAACAGCCGCAGCACGTCCTCCTCTGACTGCTGCTTGTTCAGCATCCCCACGAACAGCTTCCGGTCCCCTGTGGGCGGAGACACCACCTCAGCCGAGTCCCGGGCCTCCGTGATTTCTCTGGCCCTCCAGTGCGCATGGACAAGGTTCGCCCAGGTTCGCTGGCTCCTGTTCTGCGCGTGCAGGGGATCGGGGGACACAGCCTCAAGGCAAGGACGGCCAGCCTATGCCTGCCCAGATCCCTCCAATACCCTCTGTACCCTGAGTGTTCCCATCTCGCAGCCTTTGCGGGCGTCCCAGGCCCTGTTTGGCTGCTCCCGGACAAAGACAGTCTCCCTCCTGTGCACCCCAGAGCCCACCCACAGGACCATGGTGCTGGGTACCACCTTGCTGTACCAAGTCTGCAAGCCTGGGTACACTCAGGACCCTGCTCTCAACAGTGACCAGCAGAACCCCCTGCCCAACCCTTCTGGGGCTGGGAGACAGAGTCAACCGATGTCCAGTGAGAGGTCATGTGCACCAGGCCCAGTGCCAGGGAAGCCTGGAGCCCCACCTGGTGCACCTGGGTGGGGGGCGCCTGGATCTGCCTGAGTCTGGGGCCAGGGGCTGGGCCAGCCTCTCCCTTGAGACACTAGAGCCGTGCCCCTCTGTAATGGCACTGCTCCCTGGTAATCAGGAAAGTAGCAGCTTCATCTCCCAGGGATGGTGAGCTGGTTACTATGGAAACCCTTCTTGGGCAGCTGTCACTCAAAAGGGTGGGAGGAAGAGAGAAGCCGAGAGGCTGAGCATTAGGGAGAAAGAGAGAGAGAGCAGAGGGAACCAGAGAAGCAGGAAGAGAGGAGAAGGAGCGAGAATCAGATGTGGGGGCGGAGGGGTGCAGGAGTCCTGCAGACCCACAGGCCTGCCCCTCTCCTGCTTCCCACATGGCAGCCAGGGTGGAAAGTAAAAGCGGTTCCCGACCCAGACAGGCTTAACCAGGCTCCTACACATACACAGAGGTCCCAACAGCCCTGCCCGCACCTTCCCCTCCCCTGGGTCTCCCCTTTAGCTTCCCTCCACCCAGGGTAGGGAGAAGAACGGCTAGGCTCGGAGCCACTAAAGACAGCTGAGCAGGCCTCCAGGGTGCAGCCCACACCAGGGTGCAGCCCCACACAGACTCTGGCCCCAGCCTGCACGTCAGCCCGCACACCCAGCTCCAACAGCCAAGCACACGGGCGTGAGCACACATGCCCACGCATAGGCCAGGCACAGTCGTGCATGCAAGCGGGTGGGTGCCCGGCACGTTGCACGCATGTGTTCATGTGTAGCAGCTGCAGCGCAGCAAGTCTGCACGTCTGGACACAGGAATGCACGCGCATGCACACCTGCAAACACGCACGCGCACGTCCCAGAGACCGACCCATAGCCCTCGGGACCCCATCCTCTCTGAAGACCCCCATTAGCACACCCTGAAAGGGGTGGGGTATTTGCAAGCAGCTGGTCTTGGGCAGAACCCCGTTCCTGGACCAGTCCCACCACCAGGGGGCGTGTGAACGCTGCGGCTCTGGCAGCCAAGGCCAGCTGCGATCCACAGGCCCCACCCACTGTCCCCTTCAGTGAGAGGTAGGAAGGGATTTCCCTTCTCCCCATTCCTCTGCCGACCCCAGCCCGGCAGCCGTGGAGAGATGACAACTACCTCCGCGGCTTTCGCTGTCTGCAGGCTTCACCTGGATCGGTCGCGCCATCTGTGGAAAGAGGGGGAAGGCAAAATCAAGATGGGCAGCCGGCCACTCCTGAGCCCTGCTGGGCACCCGTGCTCACCTCCCTTGCTTCAGCATCCACCAGCCCCCAGCCCCTTAACATCCCAGTCAAACCAAATGACACACAAGCCCCCGGGTGGGACCGAATGGCAAACTCTTAGCTTTCAAAATCCACTGGCTATCATCCCTTCCGCCAGGAAGACTGCCTCTCCAAACCCGACAGGCTACTTGCAAAGGTGGCTGCATTCCTCCCGACCTTGTAGGTGATGCCACTTTGCAGTTCCTGACATCAAGAAGTGGGGTGTTTTTCCCCAGCCCCAGCATCTGGACCTGGCTGTGTGTGTGCCTTGGTCCAACCAACAGATCCGACCAACAGAATGTGGCGCAAGTTCTGAGCCTGGGCCTCAAGAAGCCTTGTCCCTTGCCCTTTTGGAGCCCTGAGATGCCAGGGGGAAAAACTTGGGTGAGCTACTGATGACCCGCAGGAGGGGCCAGCAGAAGAATCATCCAACAAGCCCCAACTGCATTCGCCAACCCACAGAGTAGGGATTAGACAAAATGCCTGGGACCGTGTGTTACCCAGCAGTAGCTAACAGATACACTCAGGCAACTACTTTTAGGCAGGTCCCATGAGCTTTGGGTGGAAGGACTGTCATACCCCAGTGGACCAGCAGGTCATCTGGGCCCATGGTTCCATTGTTCTGGAATCCCCTGTCCCCAACCCCCAGTACTGAAAGCCACATTTCTGTGGAAGTTGCTCTCCACTGTGGCACCTCCGCACATGCTCAGTCCCGGGCACGAGCTGAATTTGAGGTGTGAGGGCAGAAGCAGGGAGGCAAGGGTCCACTGGTCCTGGACAGGGCTCTCCTCCTCAAGTGGAGACTTGGGGAACTCCTGTTCATCCGTCAGAACGCAGCTCTAAGGCCCCCAGGCTGGCAGTCCCCCCACCTCTGGGCCCCAGGCTCCCCCGCCTCAGGGCCGGAAGTGTCTGTCTTGCTGTCCCTCCAGCTGGGGACCCTGGTCAGTCCACACAGGGCAGGATGTGGAGCCATCAGAGGAACTTGCAGAACTGAACCCGCCTGTGTCTCCCAGCATAGGAAGGTGCCCTTGGCTGGACCAGGGCCTCCCAGAGGGACATCCCGTTAGCCCTGCAGTCTCTGGACCCCTCTTTCCACCTCAGACTTTTGAGGTCCAGCCGAGAAGGCCCCCCAGGCCAGCTTTTCCAACCACGCGAGACTACAGGACAACCCGAGACCGGCACCTGGTGCACCCACCTTCCCGACGGCAAAATCAAGAGCGGCGGCCGAGCTGGGCAGGGCCCGTGGGCAGCAGCTCCCCGCGGTGCAGCCCCTCCCCCTCCCGCGGCTCCGCCCCTCTGGACCCCTTCACCTCTATCCCAGCTGCAAGCCCACTTGGGCGCCTCAGTCAAGCACCCCGCTGCTCTGAGCCCCCCCAGCTGGCTCCCTCCCTCTCGAGCCCCACCCCTTTCGGAGTCCCCTCCCCCTCCCCCATCTCCTCCTGTCTCGCTAAGACCCTCCCCCTCTGATACCCTCCTCCTTTCTGAGTGCTGCCTCGATTTGAACTCGGCTTTAGGAGCCCCAGAACCAGAGAGGCCTCTGTTTGTCCCCAACCCATCCCCTGCCCCAAAGCCACCAGCAGCCACCACCTCAGACCACCTAGGAAAGGCCCAAAGCATCTCCCTCCCCCTCCATCAGCCCGCGCCGCACCTCACCCCCAGGCCCTCTGCACCTGGGCACCACACCCTGCTAGCTGGAGGTTGAGGGGAGATTATTTCAACCAGATGCCATCAGCTTCTGGGTTGGGGTGGCCAACGTGGGGGACGGGGGCACCTGGGACCCAGCTCCTGCTCCCCCTCCTCTCCCACCCGCCTCCGCGGGCCTCACCTCCTCCCTCCTCCCAGCACCTTGGGCAGATGAGGATGGGGTTACCATGGCAACGCTGATTCACCACACGGAAGCTGGCAATTGTTGTTGCCATGGAAACCGCCTCTGAGGGGCGAGCCCAGCGCTTGCCTCGCACAAAAGAGAGATTTAAATATGATCTTGGAGAGATGGATGGGCAGAGGGAGGGAGGGAGGGAGGGAGGGAGGGGCGGCCGCGGGAGAGCATCCGCCCCCATCACCCAACCTCCATCTCCACCCCATTCTCGGGGCCTGGGGTACCTGCCCTCCATCCGCGCCCTTGGTTCGGCCGCTGGACACGGGGACCTTCCGCCTCCCCCTGGGAGGCCCCCCTCCTGGGGCAGCCTGGTGGTGGGGAAGGGGGTCCTAATCTGGCCCAGGAAGCCGGTGGGCAGCCCTCCCTCCAGGTCCCCACACCGCACCCGTCTCTGGGGCCCGGTGGTCCCCGCCCCGCAGCCCAGCGCCCGCCTTACCCACCGGCCAGGGCCGCGCCAGGCTGGCATCCACGTGCCGCCGCCCGCCCGGCCGCCCTGGGCGCACAGGCGCACACCACGCGCAGGCCGGCCGCCACCCCTCCTGCGCCCCTGCCCGCCCATCTGCCTCTGCCCACCTCCTTCCGGCTCCCTCTCTCCATCTGTCCCGCCGAGGTGTCCGCCGCCTGCCCTCCCTCCCTCCTCACCGCGGCCGCTCCCCACCCTGCAGCCCTCCCGACCCCCCCTTCCTTTATTTATTCCACAACATTTCCGGCTCGTCCAAGTCGAGAAATTTTGGGATCCCAGGGGACCCCACATTCATCCACCCCAGGGGAGACTGGCAGACACTGGCACTCCGGGGGTCTGGGCGGGTGGAGGAGAGAAGGGTCACGCTGGAGCCCAGGGGACCCAAGGACCAAAAGTTGTCCCAGGCTCCGGGAAGATGGCTGTGTGCAGGGGTTCTGAAGCAGGCGTAGGAGTTTGGGGCGGTCAGACAGTCTCCCCAGTCGGAGCACACAGTGACCATTTAATCCCCACCAACATGATGCCACGGGGAAGACCAGAGGGGCAGGCGGGCAGAGGCGGGCCAGGTCCTGCTGGTGTCCCCGGGCCCTCTGAGGACCCACCCCATCTACCTAGGGAGGTCCCGGGGCAGGACTCCGAGGGTCCTGGGCCTTTGGCATGGGTGGGCGTGCGCTGGGTGGGTGGGACCCAGTCCTCTGCTCCCAACCACGTGCCCTGGAGTGTCACAGGTGGGGACACGGGGCCCCTGAGAGGGCAGGGCCTGCCGGAGGGTCCTCTGCTGCCCCGGGGTGAAGCCAAGAGTCCACCCTATTTGAAACGTGATCCTTTAGAAGATTTGGGGCCCAGGGAAGACCCCAGCCAGATGGTGTGAGGGGGGGAGCAGGGTGGACCCCGTCTGGCTGCCCCGCCCACACTCCACTGTCCTCTCCCGCTGACCCCACCTCTGCCATGCACCGCACCAAGCCCCTTCTCCTCCGAATGCTGCTGTGGCTCCCTATTGCCCGGGTGGACGCCGGCTCCTCATCCTGACACCTGAGGGCCCCACTGCGAGCCCAGCCCAGAGTCCACAATGACAACCTGTGGTCCCCACTCTCCACAGGAAGCAAAACGCTCCCATCCTCGTGGGCAGGCAGCACTGGGCAGCACCTGGCGTGAGGGAAGGGAGGTGTGGCCACGTGGAAAAGCCACAAGCAAAGTCCAGATGTGCCCCTTCAGCTGGAAGCCAGGGGCCCCGGGCAGGGGCAGCTGGACCGCCCTGCAGGGGACAGAGGTGGGCGCTTTGTCACCCTCTGAGTTCCGGGCACTCTGCTCTGGGCAGTATCTCCTTTGACCTGCGTTTTATCTCTTTCCTTCGTGGGGTGCCGAGGGTCAGCCCTGGGCCTCGCATGTCCAGCTGTGGGGAGCCCCGACCCCCCAGATCTCTGTCGGGAGATCGAGAGGCCCTGAGAGAGTTGGGGAGGCTGCGGGAAGCCGGGGCAGGGGTGCAGGTGACCAGGGCCAGCAGTGGATGCCACCACAGGCCAGGGCTCACGTGGGCCGCTCTCCCAGGAGCCCGGAGTGGCCCTGCCACCCCCTGACTCTGGCCCTGGCTCCTGAGCGGTGAGAGGCAGAGCCCGCTGCCCGAGCCTGACCACAGCCCATGGCCACAGCTGCCCTAGGAAACCGGGCCTGCTCCACCCGGGGCCCGGGAGCCTCGGGCACATCCACCCCTGAGGTCACCTGCTGCCAGGCCCCTGGCCGCCCATCTGCACTGAGACCCCTCCTCAGTCTGCTCGACCCACGGGCTTCTCCACCTCCACAGGCGCCGCGGCGGTCACTCCCTGCTGGTCTCGGCTGCTGTCCCCCGCCCTACGCCAGACCAGAGCTGAGGAAAGGCCAGCCGGGGACACACAAGCTGGACACAGACACCCGACCCCCGCGGGCAGCTGGAGGGAGTGCAGGTGGGACAGCCGTCCCCGCGAGTCCTGGACTGAGGGGTCAGGGCCCTCAGTGTGAGGGAGTGGGGATCCCTGGGGACAAGGACCTGCTTCTGCCCTCAGCCTCCAAGTCTGTCCAGATGGTCAGGGGACAGGGACACCGAGCGGCAGAGACACTCGTCCTGGGGCCCAGCTCGGCTGGGTAGAGCCGAGATTCAAGCTCAAGGTGTCACAGCAGCAGCGTCGGGGACGAGGTGACACAGAGGGAGACACTCTGAGAGCAGAATGTGGGGACCAGGGCTTTGGGGACGGGGAGGGGAGGTGGCGCCAGGGCCTGAGCGAGGAGCTGCTTCAGAGGGCGTCACGGGCCAAGTGTGGGCACCCGCAGACGGCGGGGCCACTTGGGAGGGGACAGGTCCCAGGGAAGCTCAGCAGAGTGCCCGCAAGGAGCAGGTGCCCAGGGAGACTGTGTCAAAGGAGTGGACACGGGAGGACGGGGGGAGGGAGGGACAGATGGACAGAGGGAGGAGGGAGGAGGGACGGTGGGTGGGTAGAGGATGGAAGGTGGGCGGGGGTGGGCGGGGGTGGACGGAGGGTCGGGTGGACGGAGCGTGGTGGGAGCGTGTAGGACGGGTGGGCGGTGCCACACGAGGAAGAGGCCACCTTAGCGGAACAGGCCACGGCCCCGGCGACCCCCAGCAGCGGGTCTGCGTCAGCCCAGGGTCCGCCCCTGCCCTGTGGCTTGCTGGCACCTGACCCTGGACGGACCTGATGCCCACTGGTGAGTCCCTCTGTCCTTCTCTCAGTGTCCACTGTCCAGTGACAAGCGCGGGGAGAATGAGAGGCCACTGTGAGGCTCGGGCGCCAAGGGTGGCTCCCTCCTTGTCACACGTGGCCCCGAGCTCTGGGGAGGCCAGCTGCCCGTGACAGGGACCTGAGGCCTTCGACCCCTGGCCGCCCGAGGGGCCAGCCTGGAAGCAGATTCCCCACCAAATCAGAGTCCTGCTGACGCCTGGCCCCAGCCCAGGCCAGCTCCCGGTCAGGACCACGCGGCGAACCCACTCCCAGGCTCGGCCCTGGCGGCCGCTCGGCCCAGAGCTCCTGCTTGGAACCGCGAATTCACGGGTGACCTGTGACCCAGCGGCAGAGCGGCCCTTGGCGGTCGGTCACCTCCCCCGGCCTCTGGGCTGGCCTCCGGAATCCGGCTGGGCTGGCCGGTGCTGGCAGGGGGTCCAAGAAGGAGGAGAGTGAATTTGGGGCTTTCGTTGTACAGACTCGAGGTCACTCTTGCCCGTGCTGTCCATCTGCCCAGAGCCCTTTTTTGTCACCTGCAGGGTTGGGAGGTGGCCTGTCCCCAGGTCACGTGTTGGGGGCTTGGTCCCCGGTGTTGGGGGGGCTTGGAGAGATGGGCCTGGAGGAGCCGCTTAGGTCCCTGGGGACGAGTCCCTGAGGTGTGGACAGGGCTCTCCTGGGAGGCCAGCTGGACGCCCACCCTCCTCCCCTCCCTCTGGCTTCCTGGCTCATCACACGACTCTTCCTCTCCCACCTCCTGCCACGTGACACCATCCACCACGGCATCCTCACTGGATCTGAGCCAGTGTCAATGACATGCCCTTGACCTCCAGAACGGTGAGCTTTATTTATAAACCTTTTTTTTTTTCCTTTAGGGACCAGCCTGCCTCTGGTATTTCATTATAGTTACGGAAAAAAAAAAACCAAAACATCATGTTTCTTCCCAAATGTCACCTCCTCAATGAAGCCCTCCATGACCACCTCCTCTACAATTTCCTCCCCCTACATTGACATGTTGCCCTCTTCTAGTTTTAATCTTAATCTCTTAATCTCTTTGCCCTCCAAAGAACAGAGAGATTAAGTTTCTGGCTCGCTGTCACACAGCAAGGACAAGTTGGAGAAGAAGAGAGCATCACTGAAGTGGCAACCGGAGTGCCCGTCACCTGAGCCGCAGCCACCCCCAAAGGGGGCTTTTCCTTCTTTCAAACGAGCTGAGGCCACCCAGCACCTTCTGACCTGTTGAAATTGAGTCCAACGCAAGCCACGCCTTCAGCCCCGAGGCGCACCCTCGCTCTCCACTGTCAGGTGAGGCCCGACTGCCAGGTGCTGCAGGGTCCCCCAGAGCCCCAGAGGGACGGGGAGCCCCAGAGCCCTCGAGCTGAGGCCCGCAGGCTCCCTGAGGCTCCCTGGGCCCAGGGACCTGGCTCAGGGGGACCTTCCTTGCTGGCACCCAGTAAGGACAGGAAGACTCACCAGGGACAGTGTGCAGGCCAGCCTCCTAGTCACCAGGGACACAGCAGTCCCCACACCAGGGGCTGTGGCTGCCTTTGCTCCACAAGGACCCGTGGCCCTGTTTCCTTTCTATGGGAAAAGCCGCAGGATCTAGGCTCCTCATGCCCCACGGGGCTGCGCCACCTGCCTGTCCCCACCCGGCCTCCATCACCTCCTCTGCTGCAGCCACAGGGCTCCTCCCTGGGCCTCCAGCACACCAGGCTGGGTCCTGCCCGGGGCCTCTGCCTGCTGAGCTTCCTCATCTCCGAGGCCGGTGACACTTGCATGTAGGGCCAGGCACTTGTGCAGTAAACAACCTGGCCAACCACACATGCCTCGTAATACACAGCCCAGCTGCAGGAGGCCCCGGCCGATGCCACCTGGTGGTGCCTTCTGCCCTCTGCTCTTAGCTGTCTTTCTGGGTCAGAGGCCATAGGCTTCACAGCTGATTTGGGAAGGGCCTGAACCCCAAGGCTGAGAGCAAGTCCCCACCCACCTCCCCAGACAGCACACGACACTCACCCCGGGTAAGGTCTTCTGCTCGTGTAGGGCAGTCTGAGCTTTGATGGCGGAGTCCCTGGCACAGTAGGTGAGGAAGGCACAGCCTGGGGGAGAGGAACAGGGATGTTAGGAGAAGAGCCCACGCTCACAGTGGAGGATGCAGTCCCACGTCCACCAGCAGATGGATGGACACATGCTGGAATACTACTCAGCCAGGAACAGGAGCAGAGCTCTGACATGCTGCACAAGTTGTCAGTGACATGATGCAGGCACAAGGGAAACTCCCTGCAGGGTCCGTCACAGGGGGTCCCTGGAGTAGTCACAGACACAGGAAATGGATGGTGGGGGCCAGGGGCTGGGAGGGCATGGCAGCTTGAGTTCCATGAGACAGAGCTGCCACCGGGCGCATGGAAGGTTCTGGAGATGACCAGTGCCAGCTGCCCGGGGCGGGCACTGAACGCCGCTGAGCTGCGCCTCGGCCAGGCACGATGGAGGGCAGCCGGGCTCGCCCACAGCCGCCCCCCTCCAGGGTGCGACGGGGCGCGAGGGAGGAGGCCTGGCTGCGGGTGAGCAGGGCTGGCGCTGGGGAGGGAGGGCCATCGCCGGGCCAGGCCCCGAGAAGATGGCGGGGCCACAGGACAGGCCACCAAGGGGCACGCAGCTGGAGGGCGTGGCACGGCGGTAAAGGGCAGGGCCAGTCAGGAGAGGGACCCAGGCTGAGGCTGGCGCCCCCCGGGAGCGACGGGAGGTGTGGAGGCAGGAGATGCAGAGGAGCCAGGCAGACAGAGGCCAGGGAGGACCGCGCAGCTCGCGGCCTCTGGACACGCCGGCCTGGAGCCGGGGGCCGCTCCTGGGAGTCCTCCCCACCTGGCGCCCCTCGGCCGCTGCCTGTGACGCCAGGCCCTGGCTGAGGCTCCGGAACGCGGACCCGGGTCTCCGCCTCCGCCCCACGATCGCCCAGGAGCGCTCCTCCGCGGGGTCCACCTCAGCCCCGCAGGGACCCATGGTGAGCCGTGTCCACCGCCCCGTGCTTCCAACCCAGTGGGCGGGAGAGGGGCGTCCCCGCCCGGGTGTGACGAGTCCCGGGCGGGGACGGGGGCTGCAGGGCAGAGCTGAAAATGGTCTCTAACAGTTAGAAACCGTTTGAGCCGGGTGTCGGGTCACAGCCGCTCTGGACACCAGTCTGACAGACAGTTCCTCAGAAATAAAGGGTAGCGTTACCACATGACCCAGCAGCCCACTCGGGGGGCACTCCCCAGAGAACTGACCCTCGGGCACCCACAAACACAGCCGAATGATTCCCTGAGGCCTAAAGGGGGCGCGACCCAAGGGACCGGTGAGTACAAGACACCGTGGTGTCCTCACCTGGTGGAATATTACTCAGCATTGAAAAGGAGTGAAGGTCTGACACACCCAGCACCTCGGGCCTTGAGAATGTCCTGCTAGTGAAGAAGGCGGGCGGAGGACAAAGCTGCCGATCCCCTGAGATCGGGTCCCGGAGCCGACCAAGTCCACAGAGACGGGAAGTAGCCTGGCGGGTGCCCTGCTGGGGGGGGGACTGGGCTAATGTTATGGGGACAGGGAGATGGGTGGGGGGACACTGCACCCACGGCACGGCTTCGAGCCACTACTGGGGACTGAAAGCGGCGGACAGGGTGAGCTTTATGTTGTGTCTGTCTTGCCACCAAAAACGTCGTTCTCGGTGTGTATTTCAAACATACCCCAAGTGAGGTGGCGAGGGGCACAGGTGACATGATCCTGAAGCCACGTAACGTCTCCCAGGTGGAGAAGGGGCCTCCAGAGCCCTGGTGCCCCCAGCCCCCAGCCCCAGGGAGAGCCCTGGCCTCAGGATGAGCGCTCCGCTGCCGTCACCCGGCGTCTGGTTGACAGGCGCTTCCCGCCTGGGGCCTGTGTGCGCCTGGGCTGGCGTCCGCGGGCACAGGCGGGTGCGGATGGCACACGCAGCCTGCACCCGGGACAGGCGCATCACCAGTGGACACCCACCCTCCTGCCGCCGGGCGCCAGGCTGTGTGCTGGGGCGTCATGGCCGGGCAGCCACACCAGGTCCCCCTGGGTTTCCGTGCACTGGGACGGGGCTGCTGCCCGAGTAGGCGGGGTCCACCGAGTCCTTCCCACAGTGTGCAAACCGATGGCACCACTACGTCCCCACCACAGGGCCTGGCGCTCGGTCCCCTGCGTCCGCCGGGAGTGGGCGCCTCGGGGCTTTTAGGAGCACTTCAGAGATTCCTCGTGCTCTTTTCTGGGCACAGGGAGGTGACCGTCTGCTGTCCTGTGGTGGCCTTTCCAGCCTCCTTTTGACATTTCTATTTTCCAAATCGTATTCCCCACGTTCTCCGGGGAAGGAGTCAGGTAAGACGGCCAGCCCTGGCCCGAGAGACATCAGGCGTGAGCGCAAGACACTGGGCTGCGGGCACAAAGGCCCCTCACGACCTTCTTTGCCTGTGAAGTCCTGTCTGCAGGACTTGGCGGGTGGTGGCCGCGGGGGCGGGGTGGTTCGGGCAGCAGCTCCGCCCAGGGAGGGGCCCAGAGAAGCCTCGAAGCCGCCGCGCCGCTGTCCACGGTGCTGAAGTGCCCGGCGGCCAGGCGGCCCCAGCTCCCCTGGGCCTTGGGGCTCTGCGTGTCCCCTCAGTGGACCTGTGTGACGCTCCCCACTGATGCCCTGGCTCTCGTCTGGGCCCACTGTGTCCTACCCTCCAACTCATACGCTGAAGTCCCACCTCCTGAGCCTGCAGCGTGACCTCATTTGGGACGAGGGGTCTTACCGACGTCACCAGCTAGAATGAGGTCGCTAGAGGGGCCCCAGTCCTGTGACTGGTGTCTCCACGAAGACACCCAGGGCAGCTCCACGGGGGCGCGGCCGAACGGAGGGGCCACAGGGGGCACCGGAGGGACTCAGCGGCCACGAGGAGAGGGCAGGATGGACTCCCCAGGGCCCAGGAGGGGCCAGCTCTGCCCACACGTGGTGCCCGGCTCCGGCCTCCAGCACTGGACGGGACGGCCCTGGCGTTCACGCCCCCAGTGCACGGCTGGCGGTGACTGCAGCCCGGGAGGTGACACAGAGGCGGACAAGTCCTTCTTATTTCCTGCCAGTGCCGGGGACACCACCCGTCCTGCGAGGGGAGTCCCCCGCCCCAGCCACCCCCACCAACACCACTAAGGGCTGAGGCTCGGTGCCCGCTCACCCCGTCGCCCGGCAGCTCAGAAAGCAGCTGCGAGTACCGTCCCCCTTCACAGAGGCCGGCCGGGGACACAGGGGACACCCCCTGCCTGGGGTCACACGGGTGGTAAGGGGGACATCCAGGATTAAACCCAGGCAGCTAGCTCCGTGGGCTCTGGGCTGACCGCTGGGCACCTGGCTGGAGTCCGCATCTTCCCCAAATGTTCCCAGGACGTGACGGAGAGTGGCGGTCCCCTTCCCTGAGGGGACCTTAAGGTTCCAGGAGGTCGGGGCTGGGCCATGGCTGGCAGCAAGGACACTTCCCTGCTGGGATGCTGAGGCCCCGCACACGGAGACCCTCTTCCCTTTGACCCAAGGTTGGAACTTGCAGAGTCTCTCAGCTCAACGTTTCCCTGACCAGGGTGACGACCCACAGGGGTGGGTGGCCGGCGCCAGGGGACGCGCCACCGTGCCTACCCTCACCCACTTCACAGCCGAGGAGACCACCGCCCCCAGGTCACACGGCCAGGGGGCCGGGGATGGGATCTGGGCTGGGAGGTCCGGCCCAGCCGGTGTCCCCTCCGCCGCAGAATTGTCCCTGTTGTAGACCACAGAACAGCGACCGCAGGGAGGCCGAGCCCTGGACGGGCGGCCACGGCGGGCACGAGCTGAGCCCCTCTTCCTGCAGGGACTCTGAGGGCGGGGGTTCTGCACCCTGTGGGGAACCGAGGCTCAGGGAGGCCCATGACGCTGGACAGCCCAGGGGGTCAAGGGGACCTGGCACCTGAGCCCAGGGGGTTCTGACGGCTGCCCAGCTCCTGTCCACGCACCCGGGGCCGCCGTCCCACTGCTGGAGGGGCCGGCGCTGCCATCGTCCCCAAAATTCACCCCAGAGCTTGACCATTTTAAGACAAAGGTGGCCTTAGAGCATCTAAGGAAAGACCGGGAGGACCACCACGGCCCCTGGACACCAGAGCTGGGCTCCTAGGTAAAGTGAGCCCCGGGGTCATCCAGGCTCCTGGGCTCTGCCCCCGGGGAGGCCGGGCAAGGCAGCCCCGGGGCCTTCGGTGGCCGGAGAAGGTACCGCCTTACAGAGGGGACACTGAGACGCAGAGTGGCCCAGGTCACACAGAGGGAGGGGCCGCAGCTCAGCCCCTGCCTGGCCCCTGCTCAGGAGGACACCCCTGTGTCCAGGTGTCTGTGAGGGGCGGAGGTGGCTGTGGCTCCTCTTGTTCCTACTCAGCAAGGGGACAAGACCCAGGCTGCTGGGCGATGCCAAGACCCCCAGGCTTGGGCGAGGGGAGACCGGGCACCTCCCGTGTGTGTGTGTCAGCCTGGGCAGAGGGAGGGACATGGGGCTGGGGGAGCCGGGGGGTGCGGGGGTGGCCGTGCTGGACAGGGCCTTTCCTGGAGGTCAGCAGGACTTGGATCGGCCGCCGTGGAGCAGACTGCGGGGCGCCGGGGGCCAAGGAAGGGAGAGCCCAGTCGGGGTGTGCGGGAAGGGCCTCCTGGCTCCCGGCCTGGGGTGCAGACGCCAAGGTCACCGTCAGGCAAACACAGCTGGGCCCAGAGGAAGGGACAGAAAGAGGGGCCCTCGAGGCAGGGCTTTGTGGGGGGGTGTGCCCTGAAGGTGTCCTGGTTGGGTGGCAGCGGCCATATTTGGAGAAAGAGTCTTTGCAGACTTTAAGGACCCTGCGATGAGATCAGATTGTCCTGGGTGACCAGCTGGGCTCCAAGTGCAGGGACAAGGCCCTGGGGAGGAGGCTGGAAGAGCCCCCAGCATAAGTGAGCCCTGGGTCCCCCCCAGCACCAGAGAGGGGGAGGGG